ATCCTCATCATCATCATCGGGACACCAACATCACCACCACCATCACAATCACCATCATCATCATCAACATCATCGGCATCATCATCATGATCATCATCGAAACACCGACGGGACACCGGCGGGACACCGGCGGGACACCGCGGGCCACCGGCCCCCGGAAAAGAATCGTTTTGTCCGGCCGCGCCTCAACCGGAGGCGGGGCACCGGCGGGACACCGCGGGCCACCGGACCCCAGAAAGGAATCACTTGGTCCAGCCACGCTTCAGCTGGAGGCGACTTTCTTCACGCCCGCCCACGCAGCTTCGCCTCGCCCGCACGCACGGCACGCACGAACACGAAACCGAAACCGATTTCCCGGTAGGGGGGCTCTCCGTTCCACTTAGATATCACCCCCTCACGTCCTACTGATGTAGCGAAATCGCCTTGCAGTTGCGATCGCCACGTGCGCGTTGGCACCGTAATGCGCGGTCTCGCCACGCATGCTCATGATGCAACAACCCCCGCATGCAACGCATTTCCTGTGCACATCAGTGTGAACGGGTATTTGGCAATGCTCCTGTGCACCACAGCACCTGTGAAAATGTGTAAACAACTGCGAACGCGCACGCCACAACGTTTTTGCACAACACAGCTGCGGCCACACAAACACATTCCGCGTGCACCAGAACGGCTGTGTACAACACGATCCGCGCGCACACCACAGCAGCCGCGCGCAGCAACGCGACTGGCGCCTGCGCGCGCCACATTGTATATGTACACCACAAAGCCCGCACACACTTCGAGGGCCCCGACGAAGCTCATGAACCGAAATCCGCGCTCGTGGGGGGGAGGGCGCGAACGAATCAACTTCAATATGCAAGTTTGCTATGGTTAATTGTTTTTGGCCGCCTGGCGACCACTCTCGCAATTTTTCGGGTTGCGTCCAGCCGCGGCAACGAAGATCCCACCCAGAGGGGGGGGGGCCTGGCGCCTCGAGCTCATCTGTGCCGCGGTTTTGTCAAGAAAGGCCCTGGCCGAAAAGGCCCCGAAGAGGGTTCCGACGCGGCTCGAAAAGGCCCCTAGAAGGCCGAAGTATCGCCCAAGACTGCCCAAGAGGCTCCGAAGAGGGGGACCACCAACCGACAGTTCGAGCCTTCCACCCCAAGACGCTCCCAGGAGGCCCCAAGAGGCGCCCAAAAAAAACCTTACCAGGTCCAGGATAAACCCTGGAGCGCGCACAACAAGGCACCAAGAGGATCAAGTCCCTCCTTTGCCCCCGTTGCCCCCCGCATCAGCCCATCGTCCTCCTCGTCCTCTTCGTCCTCTTCGTCCTCATCCTCGTCCTCGGCATCCTTTTTGTTCTCCTCCTCATCGTCCTCCTCCTTCTCCTCCCCATCCCCCCTCCTCCTAACGCCCAGGGTCGGCGGCACTGGTCGCAAATCCTTCCCAGTAAATTGGCCAACGCGGGGTCACAGGGTGGTCAGTGCGCCGTGGCTGGTGCGGTGTTAGTACAAGAATTGCTCACATGATTCGCGGTGTGCCAAAATCAGCGGAATATCGCTCGCCACGTAGCAGCCTACGAAACCGAACAAACTCTGCGCAACCCTGTGCCGACGTACGAGTGCACCCTTGTGCCTGTGTACGCCGCCAGCATGTACATCACAATGTCCGCGTGCACCTTCTGGTGCCTGACGGAGCCCGGCTCCAAGAAACCATGGCCGGCCCGAACGTGTCAAATTGAATGTGCAAGTTGTTTGTGGTTCTTGTCTGTTCTGGCCACGGGCACAGCCCCTACCCCCGTTGCCCGCGCGCACAACAACACCAAAGTATACCACAACGCTAGGCACCACAACGCCCGCGCACCACAACTGACGCCGCAGCCTGCGCGTGTGCCATGCACACCAAAGTGCTTGTATCTTCCAATTTGGGTGTGCCGCCGCGCCTGTGTGGGTGCCACAACAGACTGCGCGCGCCACGCGCTTCTACATACCACCAGCACATGCCTGTGCACGCAAGCACGTTGCGCGCACACTACGAACAGCATACCTGCGCGCTAAGCAACAGGCGGTGTTGCAACGGGGGTGGGTGGGGCGGCGGGCGTTAAGTATGTTATCTACTCGGTGGGTGGGTGGGTGGGTTGGAGGCCACATAACACGCGTTGTGTTCGAGTAAAAATACGTCAGTTCCAACCCCCCACCCATGAAGGCGAGGCGTTTGTGGCGGGAGTCAGCTGCGGTCCTCGTAGCGCATCCTCGCCCACACCTGGATGAAGCGGACCCACGCCACCCTGCGAAGGTACCGCGCGAAGTCCTCGTCCACGACCAACCGCTCCAGGGACTCAACGAACGAGCTGGGAAGCCGTGCTGCCCTCGTCGTCGGAACCTTGCCAGCACAGGGGAGCATTTCCACGTTCGCGAGGCCTCGAGCCGAGCGGAGAGTCTGTATCCTGGCCCACCCACGCCACGCACTCCGTCCACACCATGGCGCGTAGGGCCTGGCTGGGCACGGTCTGCCCGCACGGTTCGGCGGCCCTGGCGCGCACGTACTCGATGCAGTGCACGATCGTCACGGGCCACGGGACACCGTGCGCGCAAGAGCCACTTTCGCATCGTGTCCAAGGCCCGCAACTACGACCTCACCGTGTTGATGCACGTGTTTCCCGTGATGCCGTCCTTTGCCCTCTCCGGGTGCATGTCGGACCGCGCGGTTTGCAGCGAGGGCACTCCCAACTCTTCGGGCACCGTGATCAGGCGAGGCTTCCACTGAGCCCACTCTTGCGCCTCCAACCCGCGACAACTCTGTTCCGCTGCCGCGCGGCACCTCCGCGTGAAAGCGGGTCCCCGCCATCGCACTGGCCCGCGGCGGCGGCGGGGCCTCGGGCGTTCCCCGGCGTCTTCCAGCGCATGGCCCGTTCAGGGCAGCCATGGAGCGCCTTCAGCCGCTTCTGCACTGGTTCCTCGGCCACTGCCTGGTCCACGGATTCCCTCCGCGGCCGCCGCGCCTCCTCCACGCCGATGTCCGCGGCCGCCGCCGCCTGCACGAGCCTCCCCTCGAACTCAGACTTGTCCGCCTGGGGAGCCACGCGCGGGCCGAGGAGATCGCATTAATGAAGCACTTTGCGGATCCGCCGCCGCGCGCGGCTTCGAGAACGCACGGCCCAAGGGCCAGCAGCTGCGCCAACCGTTGTTCAAAATCGGCCGACCGCCTGAGCCCAAATGGCCACAGGCGACGGGCAGAGAGGTAGGATGCACTTTCATGTCGGCACACGGGGGCTTTAGCAGGCCAATGAACTCGGCGTTTGGACGCCCCAGCTTCCCAACGAGTGGGACGATGGCGCGTGTATACATCGAACTCACTCGCCGAACTCCTCGGCACCTTGGCCGACCAACCGACGCGGTGTCTGCATCGAGCCCCTCCGACACGCGTGCCCCTCTCGCCAAGGCCTCTCCTTCGGCGGGCCACTTGGCAAAGCAGCGAGAACCCAGACGCTGGGCGAGGCCCCCGCTCGCGCTCGCAGGGCGACTCGGGTCTCCGGCGGCCGTTCGGGACGACCCGGCGAGGCGAGGCGCCGCTGCTGGAACGCATCCCGAGGCAGGAAAGAACGCCCGAACGAACGTCCGAAAAACTGTGGCCACCGCACCGTTGATGGGGGCCGGAGAAGGTTAGAAAGCAACTCCTGGGAGGTCTTCGTAAGAGGGGCTACGGGAGATGAAGCCAGCCAGACAAAGGGGCCACTAAGCCAGATCAGGCCAGATTCGGCCCAGGATTGAGCTGGATCGAGCTGGGCCCAACGGGTTTCAGGACTAAGCTGGATCAGGCGGGACTAAGCCGGATTAGGCCGGTTTTCAAGCAGGGATATGCCAGCGCCGATTCTGAATTTAACCTCCCAGGAGTTGCATCCTGGAGGCGGGGAGCGAGGAGCGGTGGAGAGTGCTCGCGGGCGCCCGGACGGACCCACAGCCCCAGGCGCTCGACGAGCTGGACGGCGCAAGTCACCTCTCGGTGCATCTGCTGGCGCTTCATCCGCTTGTTCTCGGGCGCCGGGGCGGGGTGGGGGGCGGGCTCGCGCCAGGAGGAGGGGCTGGCCTCGGACGCCAGGAAGCTGAGAGCACGCACGTGCGCACTGCCAGATTCGCACCATCATCGCAGTACCGTGAGGAACGCTGAATACGGAACGAAGGGGCTTTTCTGCCCACGGCGAGAGCCTCGACCACGAACAAGCTCCACGACCTAGGTCTAAGGACCGTCCCGAAAACCAGAGCCCCTCCTGAACCCAAAGTGGTCCTTCACTCAGCGCCTTGACTGTAGAAAAGCTGACTCGCGCGATTCGACGGCCGCCAGTCGCTCCTCTGTCCATCTCTTGCTGCGGCGCAGCCCCGCTGTGATAGATGCTCTGCTCGATCAGCATGGAGGCACGGTCATCGTGCAGCCGATGGTTTACCCATCTTACCCATCTAGGCTTGTGCCGCAGAGTCTTGACCAGAGGAACCACAAGATGTAAACGCAATTTCTCCCCCTTGACGGCCCCGTCATATGCATCGAGTTCCCCTTGTATTATGCCTCGACGGTGCCCCGATGGCCACTGGTGTCATAGCGGCGTCCCGAAAATTCGACGGTGGGGTGTCCCACCCGTGCCTCGAAGGATCGCAGGCTGCGAGCCAGCGGCGCCTCGGTGGTGTGCTGATGGGTGAGCAGTCAAGACTCGATGGATGTGCAATTGATCTGGGGGGAGGAGGAGGAGGAGGAGGAGGAGGAGGAGGAGGAGGAGGAGGAGGAGGAGGAGGAGGAGGAGGAGGAGGAGGAGGAGGAGGAGGAGGAGGAGGGGGAGGAGGAGGAGGAGGAGGAGGAGGAGGAGGAGGAGGAGGAGGAGGAGGAGGAGGAAGACAAGGAGGAGGAGGGGGAGGAGGAGGACGAGGACGAGGAGGACGAGGAGGACGAGGAGGACGATGGTGATGACTGTGAAGACGGTTGCGAGGTGAGGGAGGAAGGCAGGGAAGCCGGTGAGCACAGTCAGGTTGCCACTATAAGGAGCGCTGAAGCAGGAACGAAGCCCCCGTCTGGCCCCCGAAGCGCTTGGGTGCACGAGAAGCGCTAAGGGACGAATTATGGATGGACAGGGGCAACAGCTGCGAGCGCCTGCCGAATCCGAGCTGCTCCTGAATTCGGCAAATTGACTATGCATACAAGAGGGCGCAGGAGATCGGGGCGAACACTGCGTGAGCGAGAGGAGGGAAGCCAGGGCGGGCGCGGCGGGAGCGTACATGGACGAAAAGTTCGAATATTGCGGCGCAGGATTCCCCTCCAGACCCCCCAACCTAATAGGATCCCCCTCAAGTGCGCAAGGATTCGAGTATCTTGCCCGTTTACTGGAGGGAGAAGGGGCACCAATGTTCGCAGCAGGCGACCAGTTTTGGAGACGGAGGGGGGGAGAGAGAGAGAGAGAGAGAACGAGAGAGAGAGAGAGACAGAGATGTATGGAGAGTGGGGGACAGAGGAAGAGAGAGAGCGGGAGCGAGAGAGAGAAAACGAAAAAGAGAGAGAGAGAGAGTGCGGGAGGAAGGCGCGACGGCGGGAGAGCCGAAGAAAGCGAGAGGATCGCAGGCAGGGGGCGCCTTCTTCTTGTGGCTCGGGTCGTTCCAGGCCTCCTGGGCTGTCGCGGCGCCCGCACCCGAGCGGGGGTCCAGCGCCGATCCGAGAGATCCGCGCGGACCTTCGAAAGTTTGTGCTCCCGACGCCGGGGTCTTCCTCTCCGATCTGCAGGGCCTCCAGGCCGAGCCCTCGCCCCCCCCCCGAGGGTTGTGGATGCCATGACAATGGACACTCCAGCAGTCCTATCATTGAATTTAGAATGTGCGCAAAATGTCGGAAAAAATGTTCTAAACATGTTTCAAACATGTGTTCTACATGTTTAAAACCATGCTTGAAACATTGTTCGACATCTGGAAGTTATTTGGCAGCACGCTTTCTCTCCACTGATCGTCCTCCACAGATCTGCAGGGCCTCCAGGCCGAGCCCTCGCCCCTCCTCCCCCCCCCTGGAGGGGCGTTCGGCCCCGAACCGGCCGCGCGCGCCGACGCCGCCCCCGCGTCGGGGCGCCGCGAGCCCATGACGCGGCCGTGGGGCCGCGGAGGCCGCCGCGAGGCGGCACCGCGCCGCGCAGCTGGCGCGGCCCCGCGCAGCTCAGCGGGGGGGGCGAAGAAATGTTTTCTTTTGGGGGGGACCAAACTCTATACACCGAGGCTTTTTTTCCAGCCCTGCACTGAAATCTGCACAGGGAAGCGGATCCTGGTGTATGCGGGATCCTGGTGTATACATGCTTCGCGTTTCCTGGCGAACAGGCGGAGAAGGTGTACACCACACCACCCCGACGTCGCTCCCGACCCTCAAAAAGTCCTGCGATTGAAAAACAGCCCGCCACTGGTCATGTACATGCTCAAGTTTCCGATTTTTTGGGGTGAGAAGAAATGGGAGCGGACATCGCCAAGCGCGCCGTCGACAAAGCAAGCCCCCCGCAGAGCTGTCCTGCGCGTGTGGTCGAAAGCCTGGCTACGGAGGACAGAAGCAGAACAATCGAGAGCATGCTTCGCTAGGGACGGACCTCGAATCGAGGAAAGGCCAGTACGCCCAAAAATGAAAAGGCACCCCGCAAAGGCGGCAACGCGCAACGAACATGTCACGAAATACGGCCCGCAAGTGCGGAAGGACGAGGAGGAGAAAGAAGAAGAAGAAGAAAGGAGAGCGGCGAGAAGAAACGCACAACATACTGCAAAGCATCCGCCCTCGGCCGACGACAATCACTCGTGCTTAATTTCCCCGTGGGCCGAATCAGCCGCAACCGCAAAAACATAAACACCACATCTCACAGCGCAACGAAATCTAGTCGCAGAGACGGATTCGCTGCACGCGTGCACAGGAGGGGGAGGAGGAGCAGCAGCGACAGGAGGAGGAGGAAGAGGAACGGGAACCAAACAAAAAAATGCGTAATGCTCCCCGCCGCGGCATGCCAGGCTCCGTGGATTACCACGCTAGCGCAAAATCAGGCAGGGCAAACGGTATGGTATTCAATGAAAACAAGCAAAAAGGGAGATGAGGAGGAAGAAGGGTGAGCTAACCAATGAATAACCAGACAATTGGCAGCAAAGGCCACCGAGCTGAACTAGGCGCGCCCCCGACGGTCACCAGCAGCGCAGGCTACGCGGATGCACTCCGACAGGCCTGGGGCCGAGACGACGCCCTCCTTGTAGGCCTGCTCCCTCATGTCGGTCGACTGTGCATCCAGACTGTGCCGCGCTCTGTTGGTCGTCATGTACATTGCGTAGACACAGAGGGCACCACGCGTAAACAGCGATGCTCGAGACGCGGCCCAAGGCGGATCAAGTAACAGGAACTGGTTCAGCCCGCGTGGGTGCGTGGGCGGAGGCAGGGCCAAGCGTCGGCAGGCCAGCGTAGCGTCAGCAGGGCAATACGCATAGTGGTGGATGCTGTCCTGCCCGTGCTGGCACCCGAATGCGCACCGTCCCGCCTGATCCTGGCCAAAGAGGGCCCTGCGCGCAGACCAGCCTTCTAATAGAGATTTGAGCACCGCGGCCCAGATGCGAGGCGATGTAGTACGGTTGATGCCCTGCAGCATGGCCATGGCTCCTCCAACCCTGTGGCCAGGTAGCGTCTGTAGCGGCCAACGTTCTGACCGGCGACGGAAATGCTGATGGAGAGCGACTGGCGCCCGTGTCTGGAGAATGACGGCGCACCCTTTTTGCCACATCTCCCGCGGCAGCGGTTGCGCGCACGCACCCTGAAGGAGCTGCTGTTCGGAATTGCCCGCCTGCCTGGCGGTGGCCGCCAGGGAACCCATAGCATCGGACAGGTTGTGCAGACAACTACGTAGTGACCGCCCAGCCCTGCCACGCCACATGTCGGTCCCATTTGTTAGAAGTGGCCACTGCTAGAGCTAGAGCTCGGGCCCGGCGACTGGCGTGCAGGCCTCCGTTCGCGCTGTCTCCCCACCGGCTTACCCGGCATCGCGCTGCCAGCGATGTAGCTCTGGCATCCGTAATCTCTGAAGGGAAGCCAAGGGTCCCCAGTTGGCCCAACACAGACGATTTTCTCCAGCCTCGATGCCCAGGGTAGCGGATGCTGCACACTTTGCTCTCGATCTCCGGTCACTCCAGAGGGAGAAGTTCCAGCTGGAGGAGGGAACCGACGAGCGGAAATATGCACGTCTTGTACGCCTGCGTGGTCACGAGCATGCCGCAGCCGATGCTCCGCCATAGCGAGGCTCGCGCGAGCATCTTGGAGAAAACCTGTTCCCAAGATCGGTGCCCTTTGCCGCCGAGTCCCAACACAAAAACAAAGTAGTTGGCGTGGTCCGCAATCTTGAAATCACTCCATGAAGGGGCCAGCCTTCCCAACATCATCCCAGATCTCACCCGGCGATGGCCAAGGGGCGCCCCTTGGGCCCCCGGAGCCCCCATGCTAACCCATGACCGTGGTTCCAGGCCCGCCCCTGGCCTACTCCGATGTATACACACAGATCTATCTTTAGTAATACACATGTGTATAATTCTATGGATATTTATCGGAGGCTTGGGGGTGAGATCGAAGTGGAACGGAGAGCCCCCCTCCGGGAAATCGGTTTCGGTTTCGTGTTCGTGCGTGCCGTGCGTGCGGGCGAGGCGAAGCTGCGTGGGCGGGCGAGAGAAAAGTTTCCTGTGGCTGAGGCGCGGCCGGACCAAATGATTCCCTCTGGCAAGCGGTGGCCCGCGGTGTCCCGCCGGTGTCCCGCCGGTGTCCCGCTTGTGGCTGGGTCCCGGCCGGACCAAATGATTCTCCCTCCGGCAAGCGGTGGCCCGCGGTGGCCCGCTGGTGTCCCACAGGTGTCCCGCCGGTGTCCCGGTGTCCCGCTGGTGCGAAAACGATAGTGAGACCGATGACGAAATCGATTGTGGGATCGATAGTGAGATCGATAGTGAGACCGATAGTGAGATCGATCGTGAGATCGATCGTGAGATCGATTGTGAGATGAATAGTGATATCGTTTGTGAGATCGAGTGATATCGATAAAGAGATCGATAGTGGGATCGATAGCGAGATCCAGAGTGAGATCGATAGTGGGATCGATGGTCCCAAGAGCGAGCGGCAACGCAACAATCAACACTGCTGCCCATTGCTGGCCCCCCTCCCCCTCCCAACCTCCTTATCACCCGCAGGGTGGTCGTATAGGTGTATACATATATATATATATATATATATATATATATAGATAAGCACCTGTGTATACATATAGAAATCTACCGTGCGTATATGACTACCTACCAGACCACCCCAACCTAGCCCGAAGACCCGAACTTGACCCGAATGTCGGGTTGGCAGATTGAGGCCTTCGGGTTAGGTTGGGGTGGTCTTGGTGGGTGCTGAGCATATCCGTATGGCGCAACCGCCGTGCGCTGTGGCCGCGCCCGGCCCTGCCACGCCTGGCTCCGCCGCGAGGGAGAGCCGGCTCGCGGTTCCCGGGCGGGGCGCCCCTTCCTCGGGGCCTTCTGGGCGAGCCTCGCGGCGGCCGGGCGCGGGCCCCGCCGCACCCGGGCGTCGGCCCTGCCTCCAAGGACGACGACGGCGACGACGACGACGACGACGGCGACGACGACGACGACGATGATGCGCCCGTGGGAGGCGGAGCGTCTCGGTTACCATAAGAACTCAAGAGCAAGTTTTCCCTGCTCTGTCTTCTTACAACACTGCGCATGGATTGCAGGGGAGGAGGAGAGGAGAAGAAGAAGGGCGAGAAGGAGAGGAGAAGCAGGAGAAGGACGAGGAGGAAACGAGGAGGGGGGGAAAAGGATGAAGGAGGGCGAGTGTTGCAGGGGGGTTCCCGTCCCCACCTTCACCATCTTCCCCTCCCCCCTGGGTCGTCGTCCTCCTCCTCCTCCTCCTCCTGCTACTCGTTCTCCTCGTCGTCCGGTGTACTTAAGCATGGTGATACGCGGCTTGCGAAAGAGCGTCGGCGCCGCCCAACGCACGGCGT